ATAAATAATAATAAATAATAATATAAATAATGATAAAAGAGAATGAGTAAGAAAATAAAGAATTATTAAAAGAAAAATATTAATAATCTAAATTAATAATTGTGATATATATGATAATTATCTGAGTAATAATATACTAAATCTAGATATATTAAATATATAATAATCATTTGTGTATCCAGAGTGAAAATAATCTTCTTAAAAATATAATACAAAGCTAATTTGTTGTACAGATAGTGTAAAATAAAGATTTAAACTAAAAGAGATTTAAAAAAAGATAACCTAATTAAAATTATTACATAGCCAAAATTACTAATAATATTAATCAAAATTATTATAATACAGAGATATTTACTTTTAGAGAGTGTTTATTTTTCAAGATTTACAATATAATAAACTCTTTCTAAATACAAGTTTTCTAAATATAAGCTTTAGTTTTTTTTAAAGAACTGATTGTATATATTATTTTACAAAATAACTAGTTACTAAGATTTTGATATATGCATATTCTTCTTTCTTAAAATTTAGTTATATATATGTAATATATATATATATATGTATAATAATCTATTATAAATTATCAGATACTTAATAATAATTATTATCAATACAAATTTATTATCAACTTAAAACATGATTATTCTAATAATTATTATATCAATTTTAATAAATTTTGATTTATTTGTAAGATAAAAATAAACTATTTTGTTTTGTTTATTAATATTTTATTAGATAACTATTATTAGCTATGACTTTTATAATTCAACATGATATACTATTCATAAGATTTTTGTATTTACTTTTATCAATTTATAGCTACTCATTCTGAAGTATTTGTTATAATTCTTTATAATTTTTGGATAATGATTCATATATTTAAACTCATCTTTCTAATTCATCTTATAAATATTCTATAAGATTTAAGTCAGAACTCTAAATAAATCATGAAATATTACTAATATTATTTTCTATCTTCCATTTTTTAGTTTTGCTTGTTATATAAACAGGTATATTATCTTTCTGAAAAACATAATTCTTCTTATTATCTAGAGTATCTAGAAATGGTAAAAAATGATTTTCTAGCATATCTATATATATATTGATTATCATTCTCTTCTCCAATCTAACTAATGGACCAAGACTATTTTTTGTGAAATAACTTCACATTATTACTCCTTTTTGATCCAATTTAAATGTTGGAATAAGGCACCTAACATCATATTTTTCATGAGATTGTCTTCAAATATACTTCTTATCATCTTCTTTGAATAATTCAAACCTAGATTTATCATTCCAAATAATGATTTCCCATTCTTTTTTTCATGTTTGCCATTTCTGAATTCAGAGAAGTCTCTTTTGCCAATTAACTTCATTCACAAGCAGTTTTCTGGTTCCAATCTGACCAAAGAAATCTTATTCATATAAGTAATATTGAATAATAATCATACTTACATTAGTTGAGAAAGAGATAACAAAGTTTTTGTATAGTTTTTGAAGATTTGTGCATCAATTTTCTTTAAGAATTCTCTGTAAATGATGATTATCATTATACATGGTCTGTCACTTTGGGAAGGGAGTTTTTTCACAATTAGAATTTTGGTAAACAGAAATAATGTCCTGTACAGTACTTTTTGACTGATTTAATGTTTCAGCAATTTTTTGTACACTGATTCCACACTTCCAAGCACCAACAATTTCTTCACGCTCAAAAATGGAGAGCTCTTTTCATTTGGTAATTTTATTCATTAATTTGAAACTTTTAGAAGATATAATTTAGTGTGTTGCAAAGTCAAAGTAAAGTAAATTCAAGGAAAAAAAAGAATAATAAAATCAACAAAGTCGTTGTGGAGAAAATCTAATCCAAATAAACAGTATTATTTGTAAAACGACTGGGGATCCACTGTACTCCTTTGAATCATATGTACATACTATCAAAAAGAAAAATGAAAAAATAATTAGTAAGGGATATTTATAATAAATAAAGTTATACAATAAACGTGATACAAGATAAATATTATTCTAGGGATGTTAAAAATCTTGTCCGGTCCGACTCAATTCCGGAAGTAGAGTTTTTTTAATAATGAGTCGGTCCGAGGTCGAATTTGTATCATGTGTAAAACTAACGATCGTCCATCTTTTGAAACTGTTACTAATACTAACGATTGTGTGAACATTGGGACACTTCCAAAAGTCAGAAAACAGATTCCAGGCTGAGTTAACTCAAAAGACCTACTCAATGAACTTTTTGATATCTAATTTATTGCTCAAATTGGATTTTGGATTTACAATCTCTCATGCTATCACTTTTTGGAATCATATCGGCAACGGCGCTTGTAAGCGTTGTCATCTGTGATGATTTTTCGAAGCCATCTGCACCCAGCAGTTTGATAGAATCGCTGGAGACGGCATTTTTTCCAACTAATTGCATGACTATGCCTTTGGCATTTGGTTTAATAAATGATGGATTCATTGGACATGCTGTGTTGCCGTCGATATACTTTGATATGAGTACATCGCAAAAGATTGGAATGTCGGTGGATATGCAGTCTGTAACAAAAAAACCGTAAAATATGAACATCGTTAAATTTGCATAAGGCTATCCAAAATTAATTTTTTGGTCCTCATAGCATAAAAATTTTAAAAGTGAACCGTCCGCCCGGCTTTATTTTATTTTCTAAAAATTTTATATAATTTTTGTCTCAAAAAAACAGATAATTTTTTTAGGGCTTGCGAAAATTGACCCGGCCAGGTTATTGCTTGGCCTAATATAAAAGGTAGACATAATGAACATGAATTTATTAACAATATTGTATTGTCTTCAAAATAAAAATATAATTACATCCAAATGTCTACATCTTAAAGAAATATCCGACGCAAGTTAATTATATAAAAATGTCCAAGAGGAAAGAGAGGTAATATAATGCTGTATACAGCGCTACCGCTGAATTTTTTTGAAGGATTATCATTTCCAAATAAGATGCTAAAATCGAATTATTATTTCCATATATCAGGCGCTGAAAATTTGATTATTAATATTAAAATTGACATTAGTGTCTGATTACAAATAATTTTTATAAAACAACAAACAAAATAATGTTATAGAACATGTCCAAGGCTATTTAATAACATATTTGTTTAATATTTATATATATAAAATAAAATTCCTTTACAGTTTAATATATTAGACTGTTTGCACCATAATACATATACATAGTAATGACGATGATTTTTGTTCACGCAAACTTATAATTGGAGATCTGTGTATTGATGATCTTGCTATTTTTTTGTTCGTAGTTAACTATAATTGGGGGACGTCTAAAGCGGAGACAAATCACGTGAAAATTTTATGATTATGATTGGTCAATGCAGATAAGATTCTGATTGGTCGAGGGAGATAAAGGTGATTAATATCACCTAATGACAAGGAAATTATAAAATGTTATTTTTTTGTTTTATTTTTGGTTTTGGTTGTGGTTGGATTTGGATTTGGTTTTAATTTAGTTTTTTTGTAATGGTAAGTTTTTTTTTGTAATTTAACTAGTTTATTTTTTTATAAAGGTTAAAAGTATCAACCTTTTTTTCTTAATGTTAGGGAAAAAAAATATTTTTTTGCTTTTTGGCTTAATTGTCATGTCTGCTATCTCTTCAATTATTATCTCTGCTATATCTTCAATTATTATCTCTGCTATATCTTCAGTTGTTACCTCTACTATATCTTTGGTCATTACAGCTTCTTCAATATCAAAGCTCACACCAGATGAAAAATAGCATCATCTTTTTAATATAAACAGTTTTTTAGAAATTCTAATGGAGAATTTTAATGATAATTAGTGGCTATTAATAATGAATATTTGGATAAAATGGAATTCATACAAATATATAAATGGTAATATTCAGAAAATTTTCACCTGCTATTTTACAAAGCATCAAAAATCAAGTACTCAACAAAAGAAAAATGTTCCAAATGAAAAATGTCAAATAACAAGAACATAGCTATCTGATCTCTGTCTTGTGAAGATTAAAATTACTTGAATAATCTCTTTAAAAATAGTTCAAGTAAAATGATATAAAAATATTCTAAACTATACATATTTTTTATTAGAAGTTGATAGGATAAAACAGATAAAAGTTATCAGAAGTTTAGTCAAAATAGAGGTAGTCAAAAATTATTCACCTCTAGCAATCACAGCTACTATTAAAGAATATGTAATAATAGAATTAGATCTTGATGCATGTGTATGTGAGTTGACATGTAAAGAAGTGACAAATATTAAATATAAAGTTTATGAACCTATAGAAACTCATCTTATTAGAAATTTGAATTTAAAATTCAATATTTTGGAAGCTATTTCTTATTTAATAAAATAGGAATATCTTGTTAAAAATTATGGCATTCTCTAATAGTTAACTAAAGGTATCATATTTGCATATCCAGAATAATTAAAGAAACTTAAACATTATGAGTGATTAATACTTATAGATTTAATATACAAAACTAATCAATATGATTGGTATTTATTTACGCTTTATATTTATAATACTTACAGATGCTGGAATGTGAGTATCTACTTTTTTGTGAGTAGTAAGAATAGAGATACAGTTACAGAAGTATTAATTATAATTTGTAATAAATATTATTGCTGATCTCCTTATTATATACTTTCAGATTATAGTAATATTAAAGTTAAAAATATTAAAAAGACTTTTTCTGGTATAACTACTAGCAAACAAGAATGCCAAATAATCCTTTATGTTATCCATATTATAAGAATATGGATGCAAAGAATTTATAAAAAAAAACTCAGGATATCATGATCATGATGATATACAAAAAAACAAGAATTAGTTGTAAAAGTCTTGTTCAGACTGCTATTAATCATTGTTCTATTTCTGCTATACAAAACTACATTAAAAAAAACTATACAAAAAATACATAACAATAGAATTTATGGGTCCATCAACATTCTTCTCTGCTCTTACAAGTTATAACTACAAATCTATTAGAATCCTTTTATAATAAATTAAAAAGAAAAATATCTTCATTATATGGTTTAATTGGTATGAGATTTTTTTATTCATTTTATTTATTTATCTATCTCATTTTATATCTAAATTTTTCTTTCTTTAGGTGCTGTTCATGATATTATCAATATTGATTATAAAAAAAGATCTAAATCCAAAAGTATCACCTTTGATTTTAGTATCAAGAAAGTATCTATATATAGTATCAATAAAGATATTCTTGAGGAAATCTATAGGTTTTTCTTCCCATTTCATAACTAATTATTAAAGAGACCCATACTATAATAAATAGACTTGAAAAAGAAAAAGATACATCTGGTTTAACTTCTCACAATTATCACTATGTGTTTCATAATTGATATTTATTACTATATAAGCATATCTTTCATGAATACATGCATAATAATAAATTATTAACTGCTAATATATAGAGGATATTTCAAGAAATATTTGAAAAAAGCAGATTTGAGATTTATAAAAGTCATGAATCATTTATTAAATATATGCAAATGGAATAATAAAAAAAGACTGAAGATTGAAGACTTACTATAGCCAAATTAACTAAAAGAATGTATGATAGATATTGGAATATTGAAGAGATAGGTAATGTTAAGAGGATAATAACTTTTATCTCTATGTTAGAAGTCTTCTTGAATCTGATTATCTTGCAATTTGATCAAATGAAAGAAAAAAATTAAAATTATTAGTATTTAGTTAATAATAAAAATGCAAATTATAATAACACTTCTCTTTATTATTGAGACTTAAATAAGTTTTAAAAATTGATATATTATATTAAAAAATTTATCATATTATATTTATAATAATAAATAAAATTTAAATATGTAAAAATTCTTATCTTGTATTAAATATCATCACTTTCTACTAATAATGATAATAAGAATTATTTAATTACATTTTCTGGCTAATCATTATTTATATGTTTTAACTAATTATTATTAATTCACGTAATTTGTTCCTGCTTTAGATGAGCTTTATAATTAGAAATTTGTGATTAATAATCTTTTATTTAGATTCTAGTGAATTTCTATAATTAAAATTTTTGTTTGATAATAATAAATCCTGTTCAAATGGACAAATACACATTATTCTATCATTTTTTTATGGATATTATATGACATTTTATCACCATTATTTTTATTTCATTGATATAATAAAATTATTATTTTGATTGAATTCATCTGCATCCATAATGACTGACCCAATCTATTACTAGCTTTCATTATTCTATTTCCTTTTATTCTACTAATAATTAATTACACTTGGCTAGTATTGCTGATTTGCCTAACAGGATTCTTTGTTACTATGAGGAGATCAACTATTATTGATTTACTTATGAAAAAGATTACCTTTATTTAAACAGCCCAATTTTCCTCAAAAATTATTTTTCTTTTCATTATTGCTAAGCAATTAATTGAATATTTCATATTGAAATTTAAAGATTATTATAATATATCAAAATCAAAATAATGAATCAACCTCCTCCAAACTAATAACAATTTTAGCAGCAGATCCCAGCTGGGTATATAAATCTTATCAATGATATAAATAATATCTTCAATCAATAACAACCACCAGCTGGATACATTGACATGATGCAAAATTTTATAACTGGAACCACTGACATATTTATCTAATGAATAATTCTATTATAAGAATATTCATGTAAGATAGTTTATATAAATCACAAATTCAATAAGCTACATCATATTAATTTAATCAATACAACAATTATTTGTTTTAACATAGTTAATTGTATTGAGCACTAATCATTATAATATGCAAATATTTAATATAATTATTTATAAAATTTTTGGATTATTATTACAAAAATCTGAATATTAAAGAAGAATATCTTATTCTTCACATTTACATATATATAAATCTCTCATTATTTTTTTTCTTTTTCAAGTTATTATAAATTTAAGTCAATAAATGAAATGACTAATTACTTTTTATAAATTAAAATCTTTTATTTTATGTTTATAAAATAATATCTTATTATATTCAAAATAAATACATTTAAATTAGCTTGCAAGTAATAGTATTTTATGTGCTCTTCATTCTCATTCATTAATTTCTTTTTTTAATATTTTTTATTATGTGCCTTTCATTGATTGGGTTCTTTTTTAAAAATATAAATTATCAATTTAAAGTAGAAGACTGATCTAAAACATAGAATCTGTAACTAAAGGAATATAATTAATAATATTGATCATATATTATATATCATCCAACTTATTATAAACATAAGAAATTTGATCACTACATAATCAGTTTTTTATATCTTAAGAATGTGATTATAATATATGGAGAGTTGACTATATATTCATTTATTTTTTATGAAAAACTTTAGTATATTGATAATATTGGGTGCACAAACTAAGAATGCATAAATTTTTAATAAAGAATGAAAATATGTTAAAGCACTAATAAAATATCATGAAGATAATTAATTTTACGTATAATCTTGAGCTAATTTTAAGCTTAACTCCAATATGTTAAATAATCTTTAATAGTATTTATTATCATAGT